AGTTAACGCTAATTACAAACTAATTAATAACTAATTGCGTCGCGTCCGGTGTGAGGCGGGAAGAGGTCTTCGTGTTCCCCACCATCTTCCATGTTCTGCTAAGCTCCCAGCCATCCTCTCTGTTGACGTTATTTTTATGTCGGTGAATCTCTATGGCTTCTCTTGTCAGTCTTTGGTAGTATCTGTTGTCCCTAGCCAGCACCTTTGTTTGTTCGAAGTCTATTCGGTGCCCCTCTGCATGGCAATGTTCCGCAACCGCCGACTGCTGGATCTTCTTCAGCCTTACATCCCTCTCATGCTCCTTGATGCGGCACTCGACGTTGCGTCCAGTTTGGCCAACATAAACCTTCCCACAACTACACGATAGTCGATAGACTCCCGCTCCTTTTAATGGAGTTAGTTTGTCCTTGGCTATCGGAAGTGCGCTCCGAATTTTGCTGACCGTGCCGTACCGCACTACGATGTCGTTCTTCTTGAGGTGCCTAGCAATTCGTTCCGTTACACCTGAAACATAGGGAAGACAGATAAATCCAAGTGGTTTTGTACTTACCGTGTCCTCTTTCTGCTTTCGCTGCTTGATGGCCTGGTTGATGTCCCTCGAAGTGTATCCATTCTTCTGCAGCACTCCTCGTAAAAAGTGTTGCTCCTTCTTCAAGTTCTCTCCTTCACATAGTCTCGCTGCTCGCTGAAATAATGTACGGATCACGGACCTCTTCTGTTGGGGATGATGATGTGAACATGCCTGTAAATACCTGTTGGTATGGGTCTTCTTTCGGTATACACCAAGTTCTATATCTCCATTTGTCGTCCTGGTGACCAACACATCTAGGAAAGGTAGTTTTTTGGCAGTTTCTGTTTCCATGGTGAACTTAATCATAGGATGTTGAGAGTTCAAGTGATCCAAGAACTCTTGGAGCCGTTTTTGACTATGTTGCCATATCACAAACGTATCGTTCTGTCCTAATCAAAATTCTACGTGCTGCAGCGGAGTCGATGTGGTGCTTCACCTTCAAGAAGGTTGGCGTTACTTTGAACAAGCACTGCTACGAGAAAGAATCCACAAGACCTTCAATGATCTACAAAAAATAAGTGAGAAGTTACTACGACTCCACCTCTCACTTTCCAATTGTATATCCGGAGAAGACTGGGACAAAGTGGACAACCTTTTATTAAAAGACGCACGGCAAAACCCGAAAGTTTCTAGTGTTAGTTCTAGTTTTAGTTCTAATCTTAGTTTAATACGAAGAGTTGCCTGAGATGGTGCGGCTAGACACGTAGAGACGAATATCATGTTATAAGAAAAGCGCTAAGCATCCCAGAGAACAGAAGAGAAAAAAGGCGACCTTCATCTACCTGGTGGACAAGCATGACCATGACTTTAAGTGAAAATAGGTTATCTGAATCGACGACCCAGGGCATAATGTTTTGACCCAGAAATATTAGGAGAGCCAACTCCACTAAAGTAGGAATATGCAAAGAAGAAGAAGCTCATGAAAAGTTTTATAACAATTTCATTCCTGACCTTTTATAAAAGTTAATTATGTATTAACAATAGGCAATCTGAATTTAGATCGGTTTTTGTCAATTTGTCCTCAGAGTCAAATTTTTCGTCCGACCATCTTCTCGCATGTCTTATCTAGCAAGTCTGGCCTTGTTACGTCAGAGTGTTTTTAGACTTAGATTGATTTGTTATTAAACCAGTTTCCAACAGTCACTTTTTCATCATTACGCACAATACAATCATAAGAACCACGTTCCACTTCTCTTAGAACGTGATCTGTTTTCAAATAATCTGATTTATTTGATCGATTATTTGATTTATTTCGATCTTTCACTGATTCTTTACAATTCTTTTTCATAGTTCTTTCCTTCTTTAGTACATTATTTTTCATTAAAATGCCCGTACCATTTCCTTTGTTTTACGACATTCAAACGTGATGTAGAGATCCAACATCAGTATCGTTCTTCCACGAAGAAGGTGGACAAAGCTGATTCCACTGAAAACCCTTCATACCCTTCTTACCTTCGCACAAATATAAATTGAATGGTCATCTGTTAGAATTCGCTGCTTAAAAAAATTGTATTTCTTCCGGATTTGGCTTCGGTTCTACCAGTTGCTTTTTGGTACATCTTCCTGTGTAAGGATAGACCTCCTCTTTTCTGAAACTATTGGATGTAGTTTCCAGAAGCAATCATTAGATCGTGTTGATTTTGGAATGTCACACTTTTTCAGCGTTCTCCACAACTGACGGTGCTGTTACCGACTTAAGGAAAGCGCTAACGCGCTGCTTGGCTCTTTGCGTCAAAAATTGCTTTTGAATTGTTAATCATCCCGGGAAGAATGTTGGGTAAGGTTAGGATTGTTTATCAGGATCTCAAGTAAAAAAGTGTTCTAAAATATGATCGTTATGCAATACCAGGTAGATTTTCGACAATAACGATACGCTCTTTCTACTCAAGCCTATCGTATCTGCTATGAATGGTCGACCAGTTAGTTTTAATTGAAAAAAAAAACAAAATATATAGCCTACTTATGATGATACCTTACATTTCGTTCAGGCCAACAATTTCAGTTAAAAATCTAACTGCTAACATAATGTCGTATATTTCTTATTATTCAATTTTAACAGCAAAAGGTAAATCAGCCACAAGCCACCGCGGCTTAATTTTTCACAAGATTTGCAATTTCCTGTGATATGTATTTTTTATGCTAAAATATTTCGGCTAATAAAGAATATAAATCGACGTGTTTTGACTCATGACGATATCTCAAACCGTTTTTAAATTAAAAACTTGACGCGGACTGCATATATTGTTTTTAGTCCAGTCTATATAGAACATATACCAGCAGGGCTATTTTCTTCATCGAACGGTTGCGAAGATATCAATGTCTAAATTGAGGGGCTTTGACTTTCGATATAATAACACCAAATAGTTTAGTGTAGGCTTTTTTGGCAGTTAATGTTTAAATCTAAAATAATACATTTATTATTTTTTTTTTAGATCGATGCTAACGAAATATCATTGCGACGTGTAATTGGAATACATAAAGACCAATTTATTTTGAATAAAAAGAACGCGACGTGCACAGATGTAATGAATTATTTAGAATCCGCTGGATTTACGAATTCAAATCCTTATTACATCGTAGAACAAGGAACGGTACTTAAAATGATGAATTATTCTTTATTATTTTTTCTTAAATTATTTAATTTCTTAGATTAATCAAATTTCACTAGCACCAGATTCTCACCGCTTAAAATTACTTAATGAAGTTGCGGGAACGAAACTCTATATTGAAAAAAGGGAAGAATGTTTAAAGATTTTCAAAAATGGAGAACTGAGACTTAAAAGAATCAATGAAGATTTCGATACTCTCGATGAAACATTAAGTACACTCGAAGAGCAAAAAAAGGAGTTAAAACAATATCAATATTACAATCAAAAGCGAAGTGCCATTCAGTATAGTATTTGTAAAATCAAATTAAACAGACATAACACAAAAAATCCAAGAACAAATCCAAGATTTAATGGAAAAATCCAAAAATACCAAAAATGAATTGAACATGATTAAAGAAAAACGTAACAGTTTAAGTAACGAGAGGCAAAATTTAATTAAAAAAAGTATTAAATTCGATTTGACTGTAAATAATTTACGCGATGAAATGGTCGATGACAAACAATCTAAAAAGAATCTTGAAAACGAATTAACTCAACTGGAGTTAACTATTAAGGAGCAAGAATCAGAATTGGATAAAGTCAAAGCACAATATGATGCAATGAAAAGAAAGGAGGAGCAATCTGTTATAAATTTAACGTTAAAAATTCAAAAACAAAAAGAGTTAATTGGCAAAGAACATCGTAGACGTCATTTCACAGTTAAAGACGATCGTAATCGTTGGATACAAAATGAATTAAAGTAATAGTAACGCAAGTTTTTATAAATTATTTATTAAATATGTATTTTTAGGTTATTGGATAATCATATTAAAGAAAAGAAAAATCACATCGAAAAATTTATTGCGGATTTAAAACAAGATGATGAAAAATACACACTTTTAATCAATAAACTTGAAACCCATAAGCGGGATATTGATGGACAAAGAGTTCTTATTGAAGAACATAACAAAGAATTTAGATGAAAATACTTTTTTCTATACTTTTTTAATGTTATATTTATTCTCTATTCGACATTGTTACATTCCGAAATTTTTATGTTATGTGTGGGTTACTTGTTTATGTGTAATGGGTTATGAGTTGCATACATTCGGAAACTTATTATTTATTTTTATTTATATTGTTTACATTTTGTTTGTTTATAACATTTTATTGTTTTTTTCTTTCAGCAACATATTCTGAGTATTCCTTTTTTTTCTCTTTTAACTCTTATCACTTTAAAATTCTCCTTTTTGCTTTTGAGAGGGTGTCGTAAATTCATGATGTTATCTTGCGCAGACGTAATTTTTTTTTATATTTTCGATCTTTGGGTATAAAAGACCGTTCAAGTTTCTTCTTGAGCCTCTCTTTCTTACTATATTACCAGAGCAATACGTGTTCTCGAGTGTTAAAGAAATTTTGGTTGGTTCGCCATTTTTGGTTTTGGCGTAAAATTTTGTTTCTAATCCATATTTGTGGGATTCATCACTCGAAATAAAGTTTTGGAAAAGTGTTTTTCTTTTATCAAATTGTACGGAGATTCCGGATTTCAACGTATTTCATTACATTTTCTTCTGTCCTCTGGTTAAACCTCGAACATCAGAGGTTAGCATGTTTGTAAGGTCTTTATTAATTAGTTTTTGGCATATTCGTTCACCCTTTTATATTTTTCTTTTGATTCTTAAACTAACAATCTACTAAATCTATCTTTCAAAAAAAAAAAAAATCTAACTACTTTAAAAAAAAAATTTTCTAACTACATAAAAAAAAATTACTAACTACTTAAAAAGAAAAACTATCCTACAAACAAAAATTCTTAAATCTAATATTTCCACGTTTCATTGTTTAATTTCTATATCCAGGTTTTTGTTGAGGGGAGCAACTTTTGGCATCTCTTATTGGAACAACTTTTTTTTATTGGTATTTTGGAACCATTGTTCAAGGGTATAATTTCCATTACATCCTAAGGATTCTAATTATTTTTTTTGGAACAAAACAAAGAATATTACCTTACCTTTCCTGAGTCACCAGAATTTGTTGCTGAGGATTTATTTCGAATCGGGCCGGTGATCAAGAGTTGGAGTAAAGGTCAGATAGAACAACATACTATTATCTTGGTCATTGAAGAATTTGTATCTTATATTTTTTTTTTATTTGATTTTCCTTAAGAAAATCTTTAAATTAATTAATCTTTGGAACATTAAACCTTTTCAATTTTTTTTATAATATTTCATTTTTTTTGTAAATTCTTGTTTGGCGAGATTTTTTTTTAAGTCTATTTTTGGCGTTGATTTTTTTTTATAATTTTTGATTTTCATTTTTTTGGTATTTTGACTTAAATTTCCTTTCAGTTTTGACTTTCATTTTTTTAAAGCTCGCAAACATCAATATAGTTTTTTTTGTTGTTTGAACCTAAAAGTTTACGGTTTTATAATTTTGTTTTTTAGTTTATTTTTTTTATTTTACTTACCTGTTATTTACGGGAGTTTTAATAAATTTTGTCTGCAACTCAAAACCTATTTTGTTGAGCGTTTATGTTTTGTTGTGTTATTTGTTTATATCACCATACTCCATCATCTCACGTCACAGTTCGTGTTGTACGCGGGGTTAACTGTGTGGCGCCATATAAATACCCCTCCCTTCTTCACTGAGCCGGTCGAGGACTCGCGTACATCTCAGGGTGATAAAACTAGTTTTGTCCTTGTTGAAAATTTCTTTAATTTTTTTTTGTTTTGATTTAAAATCTTTTAACGCATTTGGCGTCATAAATTTTTGCCGCCCAACGTGGGGCCGCTCGAGAAAGGGGGCCGCTCGAAAAAGGGGTCGCTTTCGCAGACGCTTAAGGCTCTGAAAGGAAATTAGGGAAGCTCTTTAATTGATTGTCGGGTCGGATCATTTTTTTTGAAGATGGATAGAAATTATGACGTAGGTAGGCTAACGGCGGACGCCTTACGTTACGCATTAAAGATTCGCGGTATTACTAAGGAATTAAATCACGATGAAATGAGACGTATATTGAGAAGCTTGATTAGTATGGAAAAGAATTCTCTTTTCGCGTTACCGGCGTGTCCGTTTACATTTGAAGAAGATGCGGCTGCGATTCGGGCTGATCTTGATCAACTTGAGGATAAAGTTATTAATTTTTCCGGTACTAGTTGTTGCGCGGCTTTCAAACGTTTAAATAATAATTTGATTTATTTGGTAGGGCGCGCGAATCGGGCAAAGGCTACTACTGCGGATGATAGAGCAACGAAAATGAACTTGATAACAGAAATCGTGACCTTGTCATCGCGACTTGAAATTCGGGTTAAAGCATCGTCCACTCCGAATCGAACGAATCACAATATAAGTATAGTAAATTTGGTTGAGGAATCGTCGAATTCTAGTGAAACTTCAGAAGACGAAGTGGCTTCAAATACTTCAAAATTAGTACCGATAAATAAATGGGGTATTACGTTTGCCGGAGATAGAAAAAGTTTGTTAAGCGCCTTTCTCGAAAGGGTAAATGAATTGCGTGTGGCGCGGGGCGTGCCGAAAGTAATGTTATTTCTCTCTGCGGTCGATCTATTTAGAGACTAAGCGCTGATATGGTACCGAGCCAACCGAGATAAATTCGCGACATGGAAACAATTAGTGGAAGGATTGCGGGCGGAATTCTTACCTGTTGATTATGACGATCAGTTGTACGACGAGATTCGTCATCGTACTCAAGGTCCTAGCGAATCTATCGGTATTTTTATTTCTATCATGAAAAATTTGTTTGCGCGTTTGACCATGAAGGTACCCGAAAGCGTCCAAGTTAATTTAATCCGTAGGAACTTGAATCCGTCATTTCAACGACAATTAGCTCTCGAAGAAATCGATTCGGTAGAACAACTACTGCAATTCGGACGAAAATTAGAAATTACTAAAGCGGCGGTAGACAATTATGTGCCACCTTCGCGGATGAGTAAAGTATTAGAACCGGATTTAGCTTACTTCCATGCGGGAAATTCGGATGTAGCTACCGTATCTACGAGTAATCAGTCATTCGGGAACGCGATTAAATGTTGGAATTGTCAGCGAGACGGCCATCGCGCTATTGATTGTCGGGCTCCTAAAAGGGTTCATTGCTATCGATGTGGGGCGCCGGATGTTATTACGAGGAATTGCCGAAAGTGTTCGGGAAACGGACAAGTGATGCGACGGTAGGTCGGTGTCGTAATCAGTCCAGTAAAAAGCCGATCGAGGTACTCCTAGATTTTGTATTTTCATGCGTACGTGGTGATGAAAGACCTTATTTAACGGTTAATGTTATGGGAATAAAGATTACGGGCTTATTGGACTCTGGTGCGAGTCAAACGGTTATGGGAGAACGTGGTATATCTATAGTGAAAAATTTAGGTCTTCCGATTCAGATCACTAGCGTAAAGTGTTCGGTTGCGAACGATTCAAAGTGTAACGTTGAGGGTATAGTTAATGTACCATTTAGTTTAGAGGGACAAACAAAAATTATTCTGGTACTTTTAGTTCCTGATTTGCGACACACCTTAATACTGGGCATAGATTTTTGGAAACGGATGGATTTGATACCTGATCTCCGACGAGGGGACTGGTCCTTTTCGAATCATCCCCCAATAGTGAACATAGATAGCTTGCAGTCGCGAACAGCTCTAAATGCGATAGAAGAACAAAAGTTAGCGTCGTTTATGAATCGCGTGTTTTCATTGGAACCGGAAAAAAAAATCGGTCGTACAGAACTTGTAGAACATCACATAAAAATTAATCCGGAAACTTAAACGTATTGGCAGATTCCGATGGCCAAGGAAAGCAAGGCTTACACTGCTTGCACGGTTCCGGGACGCGGGTTGTTTCATTTCAACCGTATGCCGTTCGGGCTAACTAACGCACCAGCAACGTGGCAGCGGTTTATAGATGATGTCATTGGTAGCGAGTTCGAGTCTAATGTCTTTGTATATCTCGACGATATTATTGTCGTGACACCTACGGTTGAAAAACATTTTCAAGTTTTGGAACACATTTGCGAGCGTTTGTTGTCGGCGGGTCTTACCTTAAACCGTGATAAATGTCAGTTCTTTCGTGATTCACTTCGATACCTCGGTTACGTCGTGGATGGTAATGGCTTACATGTCGATCCGGACAAAGTAAGGTCAATTCTCGAAATCCCTACTCCTAGAAAGATTTCTGAAGTTAGGCGCGTTATCGGCATGGCCTCTTGGTATAGACGGTTTATTTCGAATTTTGCCATGATAACATCTCCACTTACGGCTCTATTAAGGAAAAATTGTAAAAATTTTACGTGGACGGAACAGTGTACGGAGGCATGGGCAAAAGTTAAAGAATGTTTGGTTACGGCTCCTATATTAACGCGTCCGGATTTCAATAAAGAGTTCATTATACAAACCGACGCGTCAGACTATGGTATAGGCGCGGTATTGACGCAGGAAACAGATCAGGGCGAGCAGGTTATTAGTTATTTGAGTCGTTCTTTAACTCCGCAAGAACGCAAGTTTTCAACCACCGAAAAATGTCTGGCCGTGTTGTGGTCTATTGAAAAGCTCCGACCGTATATAGAGGGTGGTCATTTTACGGTTATTACGGACCACTATTGCCTTGTATGGTTGAATAACTTAAAGACTCCGTCGGGACGTTTGGCGCGTTGGTCAATTCGTCTGCAACAATATAATTTCACCATTAGACATCGTAATGGTAAGGATCATGTGATACCAGACGGTTTGTCGCGTTCTGTACCGGCAGTAGATGAGATAATCGGCTAAAACAAGGATAGGGTTAAAGATGCGAGGTACGATCGGTTAAGGGAAAATGTTAAATTGAAACCGGAGAAATATCCTTTATATCGTGTCGAGGAAGGAAAGTTATTTAAGAGAATACGGACTAATCAGAGAAATTTATCGTTCGGTATTAACGATTGGCGTTTGGTGGTTCCGAAATGTGAACGTTTGGGTATTTTGAAAAGACTTCACGATACAGCGGAAACTGGTGGACATTTGGGTGTCACTAAGACCGTATCGCGTGTTATTGATAAATATTATTGGCCTAAATTGCGTCACGATATTATGCGTTATATTCGCGGTTGTCCAACTTGCCAAAGAATTAAGCCGGAACAAAAGGCCGCTCCTGGGAAAATGCGAAGTAATGTCACGGCAACGTTGCCTTGGGAAGAAATAAGCGTGGATTTGATAGGGCCTTTACCGAAAAGTACTCGTGGTTTCGTGTATATTCTCGTAGCGTATGATTTGTTCTCGAAATTCCCCGTTTGTTTTCCGTTAAGACAAGCTACGGCGGCGTCTGTGGTTAGATGTCTTGAGGAGGATGTCTTTTTAACTTATGGAGTTCCCCGTGAAATCATTTCCGACAATGGTGTACAATTCAGATCGGAATTATATTGTAAACTTTTAAAAATGTACAACGTGATCAGTCAATTTACACCGTTCTATCATCCTCAAGCGAACCCTACCGAAAGGTTAAATCGAACACTTAAAACCATGCTGATAGCATACGTAAACGATAATCATCGCAAATGGGATCTGTATTTAAATAAAATTGTTTGCGCGCTTCGAACGGCAAAAAGCGAAGTAACGCGTTATACGCCATATTTCATCAATTACGGACGGGAGATGGTTTTGAGAGGAGATTCTTATGCGGATCGAGTGGGGAACGTTGATTTTGATGTTCAAAAGAGGGAACAAGCGTTTCCTTCATTGTTTAAGGAAATACATGAGCGTGTAAGACAAGCTACGTTAAAAGCGGTCGGACGATATAATCTACGTCACAGAACGTTAGAATACGAAATTGGTAATGAAGTTTGACGTCGTAATTTCGCATTGTCTGATGCATCGCGAGGGATCGCGGCTAAAATGTTGAACAAATTTGTAGGACCGTACAAAATAAGGGAAAAGATCTCACCTGAAATTTATTCGTTGGAGGATATGGACGGGAATCCATTGATAGGCCATTGGCATGTCACACATCTGAAGCCGTACGTTCGTGAATCTAATCCGACGAATTCAGAGCTAGGTTAGGTTATAACTGTTATAACNTCGAGTGTTAAAGAAATTTTGGTTGGTTCGCCA